AAATTCCTCAGGCCACTTAACAGGCCTGGCCATCGGGAAACCTCCCGGTCCTCCCGATGGCCAGTCCGGGCCTGCTTGATCTATACACAAATGGATGATAATACTTGTGCAGCACACATCAGTAAACCTATCCTTATTGGTCCACCTCTCAGGGAAAGACGACATGGAGATGTGTGAGCTGAGTCTGGAGGAGACGGGTCTGACCAGGAAGAGGGGCGCGGAGATCCTGCCCCGGCAGTTTGAAGAAATCTGGGAGCGCTGCGATGGGATTCAGTACCTCAAGAAAGCCATCGAGAACAAGCAGGCCCGGCCCACGTACGCCACCGCCATGCTGCAGAGTCTCCTCAAGTGAGGCAGCAGAGGAGAGCGTCCAGAAACCTGACACTGACACAGACTCACACACATGCACACTCAGGGGCAGAGTGCCTGTGGTTTGTGGGATAAATAGAAGTAACCACAGAGAAAGAGGCTCCTTATAGAATCTTACTGTATGTACTCATCTCAAAAGTCCTGCTTGTTCTTTATGTTCATTTTTTATATCTTCATTTGGCTGTGTGACACCCTATTTGTCTAGCATTAGAATGTCAGTCTTAGTACGATCACACTGTGAGGCCTTAAAATGAATTATCACTGCACTACACCCAGGAAGTCTTAACATGTGTGTAGCTTATCTAACTATTAACCCAAAAACCTTAATGGTCCGCAAAAGGGACGATAAATTAGACGCAAGAAGAAAGAAAATATTTAAACAAGTCTATCAAGTCGGAATTCATAGTCATACATACAACATATATATTTCTATAGTTATCTTATACTGTATTTCATATCAATAGGGATGATACATATTATATTTCAATCGTCCATCTACTTACATTTTGACAAAGAAACGGGACAATCATGTGATCAACTTTAATAACTGCCCACTAACTCCATATAGTCAACAAATGCATTGTTAAAGATAGATGAATGCGTTTAGAGAACTGTGTGGTTAAATATCATCTTAGTCTTTATTTTCCTGCTGCGTCTACAATTCAGTTAAAATCCCTGAAAAAAAGGGAATCTCTTTTTTTTGTATTGTTGTTCATTTGTTATGCAAGAGGGTAATGTAGAAGTTAGTTTTACGTTTGCAGTTTTGTGGATTGTTTTGCAGACAATGTATTTCGTGTGTGTGGGTTATGTGTGTTCATGTCATATTTCTGCAAGCTGATTACTTTGAGTTCTTTGTTAGTTAGACCAGGAACATCTCATTGGTTAAACCATGCTGTACCTTTCTTTAGGCTTACACTTATGTACTGAAAGTAGCCTAATAAAACTGATTAACTCAAAACAAGAGCTGGTTACACGTTGGCCTTTGCACTGGAATACTGTAGAAAATAAATGTGTGCCCCCATGTTCCTGGTTTCTTCTTCTTTCTTAGTAACTATAGATACCTTACAAGTGAGAACGAGTTAATTCTGTGGTTAGTGTTAGGGAAATGGATCTGACATCTAGCAGCTAAAGAGATTAGCGTGTAGATTAATTAAACAACAAAGGCTAATGTGAGGCTGATGTCGTCACTGAGTGAATATGTGTCCCCGGTGTTCCAGGGAACTCACCAAGTGTCAGAAAACACAACCCTCTCTATTTTCCTCCATACCCAAATCTCTTAAAAAGGGGCTGCAACGGATCTGATACAGACTGATCCAGATTTGAACACTTCTATGATGTCACAGAAGGGGCGCTACGGCTATTGGGCCAACTCCACCAATCAGGAGGAGACAGCCACGGACATTGCCGTTCGAAAGCGCTGGAGACGCTGTAGTACATATGCCAGGCCTGTAGATGGTGCTGTTCTCACAGAATCAGCCCATGCAAAGACAGTGTTAAATTGAGCGAAATGAGGAATGGCTAAAATGCATGATCTGTTTGGTATTTTGAAAAATAAAAAGTATAAATATGCCTTAGGTGTGGTCCTACAATATATTATTCAAATATAACATGATAGGTCCACTTTAAGTCATCAAGTGGATTAAAACAGATTTAAGGTTCTCTTTTGTCGACATTTACTTGATATTTTTATCTCAAACATATAGAAAAAAAGAAATGTATGAACCTTAAGTGGACCTTGATTTGACTGCCAACATGTTTTGTACTTAAGGGCCTCTTCAGTGCAGATTTCTTAATATTATAGGTATTGGAGCTACAACTTTGAATTTGAAGCAACAATTATTAAGTAGACGTGTCCTTGACTTGCATTCAAACACTTTTTGGTACTTTCCTCAAACAGAGATGGTTGACTTCATACTTTAACTCATCAATAACAACTTTTAAATTTGACACAATGAAGCTCAGACATCTTTAAGATGTCAAAAAACAGACAACATTTATTTTTAATGCAAAAACATTTTATTTGTTTGCTTTTAAATGCAAAATGTGTAAAAAAAAAATCCAGAACTCAAAACAGAGGTGATTAGTTGGAAGAGTTGTTTTGAGAAGGACAGACTGATAAATACAGGTTAGCCGCCAACAGTTCTATAAACAACAACATGTTATGACCCAAATCAACAGCTTATACATTCATTCTGTTTTTGGGGAAACAACCAAAGTAAAGCATTAACAGTAAAATAAACAACATGTTTCAGTCTAACCTTAAGATACCACCATGGGTATCAGCCTGTAAATAATAAATACCTCATTGTGAGGAAAGAACCGCCTCTGCAAAGGGTACACAGGAAATGCTCCTACCATTCAATATATAGAATAAATACGAGGTTCCACTTTAAGACAACCTAAGTCTTTCACCTTGACATCCATAGCTCTCTGTCTAACGAGACGTTTCGATCACTATGAACAACAGATTTCAATACTTATACAGAGTTACATCCCATAATACAGTTAAACAGCAGCTTCAGTGTTTGCTCACAGTGTCGTCCGCTCCTCAAACGAACACGGTGCCGTCACACTGTTTCTTCAAAGCATTCGCTATCCGAGGACTTTAACATACAGCACGTCCTGTATTCATTTGGGGGTCGCCATGTCTAGAGGAGACAAAAAGGATAATTAAATGATACAATAAATGACAGAACACTCTTATAAGTACATCTACAAGATATCTGCTTTTTATAAAATCAATCAAATATTCACTTAAAGGTCCCATGTCATGCTTTTCCGGTTATTACCCGTCCCCTTGTGTGTTATGAAGGTTTTTATGCATGTAAACAGTCTGCAGAGTCAAAACCCTCAAAGTACACCCTGTAGCGAGTAAAACTCTAACACAGAAAATACCTCCCCAAAACGCCTCGTTGGAGATACGTCACTGTCCATTGATTCTTCCGGGTAACTCATGATGTCATGCGTTACCCGGAACCAAATGGACCAATCCGTGGAGCCGTTACGTTACGTCCGCGGAGCCGTTACGTTAAACCCCCGCTGATTGGTCCAAATTGACCAATCCACAAACTTCCTACACACACACACTCAGTGCAGGCAGCTCTGCTGATCTCTCCTCCCTGGCTGCAGGCTGATAACAGACAGTTGGGATCGCGGCGAAATTCTCTCTGCAGACCCATTCTCACAGCGTTTATCAACCTTTTTCTTACTCAATATCAAGCCACACTTATTGTTTTTACTTCGGCTGTGACTTTGTGTGTGCTCAGGGTGAGTTTGGCTGTGTTTCGCTGTCGCTAAACAAGGAAAAACCACACCTCCACGGAGCTCAGCGCGATTCACAACGTCCCGACCAATCAGAGCACACTGTGCTACACAGGAGGGTGAGGTGGCCTGGAGCTATGGAGCTACCAACGAGCCGTTAAAGGCAGAGTGCAATTCAGTGATACCACGTAGTTTACAAGAGATGCCTGTATGAGAAACCAAAGTGAATTTTGGAAAATTGCAACAATATAAATCTATTCTAGTAGACCCTCAACAATGTGGAATTATGATCAGTGGAAATGGCCATGACATGGGACCTTTAAACTCCGAAAAAGGGCTCTTTTCATTTGGCAGGAGCACCAAAAGTTCAAACCATGGAATCATTGAAGGTTAATATGATTATTTCCCATGATTTATTTTAAGGTAATGTTAAACGGTATTTAAATGATCAAAAAAGTCAACATTGATGGGTTTATCGGTGAATGAGGCACAGGAGTTTTTACCTTTGTTCGAATCATAGAGCTGTAAAATATTTTGAATATAAAAAAGGTAAGTTATTGAATATACACTGTAAGAAACACCTCCTTGGAACTGTCATAGTAAAAGGTCTCTGAGATACTTCCTCTTAGTGGGTTCATTACACACACAAAAGCTCCACAATTTCTCCATTTAACTTTTCCAATAAATCAACATCAGATGTCCCCCTTGTCCTCACCTCGTTGGTGCGGTATACAGTGATGGAAGCCACTATTTCTGAGACTAACTTTTCTGATTTCGTGGTGTAGAGTTGTCGGGGTATCTGTGGGAACAAGAGAGACCAGCATGCCTTCATTAATATATGATAAGATCCAGAGGCAATGTGAACAAAGGCCTGCAAAATCACTGGTAGGGATCTGCAGAAGAGAAGATCTTACCAACCAGGAGATTAGACCTACAGCAACACCCAGAGCTCACTGTTTAAACTATACACCACTGTTGACTTGCATTAAAAGTCCTCAAAAGTTTAGGATGGGATACCTAGAAAAGTTAGAGAATGTGATTGACTGTGCAGTTCCAGGGCAGTGAATAATAAAGCTCTAAATGCACCAAAATAAAACGGTAAGGAGGATGAGAGGAAAGAAACAAGCCAATTTGTTGCAGAGAGTTTGTTAGAGTGTAATTAGTTTATATAGTGGAGTTGAGGTTAAGTAGTTTAGTTAATTTGTGCACAGGAAGCACAGGATAACCTCAATACTCAGATGTATGTTTTCATTGTAGGGAAAACATTTTCATTGTTCAGACCGCTGGGAATGGGGAGGAGGTAGAGCTTGAAAGGATGGCAATGTGGACACTATGAGTTAAGACACCATCATCATTTCTCAATACTGGGTTCACCTCTCAAAGTATTCCTCAAAGGCATAGGGGGCAAGGCTGTGCCTACAATGTTAAAGGA